TCAGTTAGTGAAAACCCTTAGAACCAAAATTAATATTCAATGACATAGTTGTAAATACAATGGAAAAGACTCTACCATCCTAATTCCACCTRTGGCCTCTCATGTCATACTTGATTTTCTTTGCAAATGGGATTTTCCTGAAAACGGGACATAGAGAAGGAGGTTTTTGGAGAAATGGAATACATTAAAGCTCTGCAGCATTYATCCATTATGGAAAACCATGGGGTGGCAGTAGCTGCCAAAACACTACACAAATTGTATCATCACAGGGTACCAGGACTTCCTTCTGAACTGTCACTGTCTGCTCAAGTCTCACATCTGTGTTCAAGTTACAAGACAAGCTGACCCTTCAGAAAAAAACGACACACAAAGCACCACAAAAACCAAACCAAAACAAACAACAAACCTCCCCCTAAAACCAGCCTTGCTACCCTCTTCCCCCCCAAATAAAAAAAAAAAAAACAAACTCACAACCCACCTAACATCCTCAGAAACCTAAGACTAACAAGGATGGTATCTCAAGCAAAATCTCTGTCTTACCCTGTAATGCCATTGCATGAAAAATGCACGTATTATGAGCAACCTGTTGACACTTAAGACTTGTGAAGCACACAGGGATTTTATTGCATGGTAAGAATAAGCAACAGAAAGAATTTTTCCAGTTGGTAAGAAAAGGAATGATCTCTTCCAGAATATAATAGTCCTTCAGTCACAGGAAAATTTTCATTCTATAACTTGTCTGTTACTAAATATAATGCAGTTAATTTCTCTATGTGTCATTCTTTCTTGTAGTTTCATCATGTGGCAGACCTCTCAATGAAGGATGAAATTATGTTAGATATTGACTTTCCAGAGCTGAWTTTTTTTTGAATCACAATATTCTACGTAGTCAAAGTGACATTTATGAATTAATTTCCTCCCTACAAGAGTTTGACCTGAATTTTTGCACTCCTCAGTGCTTCCAGTAAGAGTGAAAGCATGAGACATATGTAAGAGAGAGAAATGTGTCTGCTGAGTGAGCCTTAATATGAAAGATGTCTGCAAAGGTGAAAAAACCCCAACAAATCCAAGAACTATTTACAYATATGCTCAAACATATTCATTTAAAAGCCAAGTGGAAACATTTCTGTAGCTCAGAATGTGGGACTTTATTTGAGGAACTGAGTTTCACTGAGCAATGAACAACCAATTTTCCCAGCTGGCTAATAATTCCTTTACAAAGAAAGAGAAAGGTCCTATGTTACTGTTTTAACCAGCAAAGCAATAAAATCAGATATGAAGATCACTATGAGAAACCTAAGCCAAATGAGCATTTTACTTACTAGGAGCAATCATTCTTGGTGCAAGCTTGGGTACTGTAATGCAAAGTTATTGGGCTTCCATCTGTCTAACAATAAGAGGAAACAGAAGAAAGAAACGGAAGAAAAGAAAAGCAAATTTGAGGACAAATGCACTTGTACCCCAGCTAAAGTCATGCTCTGAATCACCTTCTGGAGGAGGTCTGTCCATGTTATCTAGTGAGTCCCTGGGAAGGTTAACCTGGCCAGTAACATCTGCCCTCCTGAGGAGGACATGAGAGACTGAAGCCAAGTTAGTGCAGATCACTATTTTGTATTTTTCATATGATGTTGTAATTGGGAAACAAAAAGAAAAACCCATTTATAATCCAAAATTATAACTGAAGGCAGTGCAAAAGATAAAATATGATCTATTTATATCAACTTAGTTGATTATTAAGTAAATGAACTAATTATTTTAAATATCCACCGACATTAACATTTTATTAAGCTTCTACTTGCTTCTTTCATGTATTTTTTCTATTTTCCCTTATTATTTATAATAATTTCTACTATTTGCAATTATATGTACTAATTCATTACACATCTTGCAGAACATGGCAGCCACATTATACTGASGTACACTGATGATCAGTCAGAATCCTACTGTGAAACCACAAAAATCCCTAAATTAATAGATTAACTAAACATCTCTGAAACAGAACCGTAAGTAGCCGCGGTGGAGTTAAATGTGATGAAGCTCAAAACAAAGCCAGCAAAAAGTTGTCATTATTTTTAAATTCCAAATCAGGATTGCATTTCTAGTTAATGCAGTTGAGAAATAAGCTTGGTTTGATCAATTATTGAAAAAATATCGTAGAGAATTATAAATAAAAGTATGATTGGAAAGACAGATGTAGGATAGCTATGATGAAATCAACCTACTCTTAGTCCCACAGTAGCATACAGGAGTTCTCTATATGAGAGGCTTTACACAGGCAGGATTGCTTCATATGCCTTCCCCTGAATTTCAGCTCTTTGTGAAACTCTGGGCAATGTGGTATCTTATTAAAAAATTAAAAACTGGAAAAGGTCCTTGTATATTACATTTATCAAGGAAATTAAAAATAGTGAATCCAAGATTGGGGTCTCCTGAGAAGAGACATGACACAACAGAAAAAACAGGTGAGCATTAATTGATTTGCCTAATTAGAAATCCCCAGTATGACCCAGGCTACATGGTTAAATCTTTGCCTTCCCTAGTGGTGGGGTTGGAATCACAAAGTGTGATTTGTGCCCTTTGCCACCCCCCCAATTACTAACCAGAGGTATTAGCAATGCAAGATGGTGGAAGGCAGGATTACTCACCTGTTTCTGCTGTGATTCAAGTGGCTTTGTCAGTGCTGATTCACATTTGTGGGATGCAGATTTTCTCAAGAGCTTTAGGATATTATATTGTGCTTATAAAAGGAATTATTGCCTCAGGCTATGTCC